AATTGAAAATTGTTTTATTTCCACTATGCATGATTAAGTAAATTTCCAACAATATCAAGAGACTTTACAATTAGACACAGGAAAACAAGATTTCTTTTTGCCAAAATCGCCTCTAAAACTTCCGGGCACTCGCGCCACCGAGCTAATCTCGCAAGAAATAAAATAAAGTAAAATTTTATTGCCTAATCCTAGTTTAAAGAATCAGGTGAAAATCGAACAATATTTAATGCCCCCATTTTACACCCATTTTCTTCTCATTTTCTTTCTCATTTTTTTCTCTTTCTTTTTTCAACTACACATTTTATCAATAAAATAATATTATACATAAACCAAAAAATTCTCATTACTTTTTAACCAAACATTATTCAATCAATCACTATTCCAGAATTTATTTTTTTTTCAAAATGGGTGTCAAACAGCGGTATAATTTCAAGAATCAGCCATGGAACCCGAAAATGTTTTGCTTATAGCTTCAATAATCAGGAAATAGACCAAGAAATGTTTAGTTTAATTAAGCCCATGTTTCACCCACGTAAAAATTTTCATTTTCATTTTTCTACTCATTTTCAATTATACATTTTTCAATAAATAATATTTTACATCATATCAATAACTTTTCATTTTTTTAACCACACATTCTTCATCAATCTACTATTCTAAAATACATTATTCCAAAATAATGTGACTCAAACACATCCTAAACTTCATTAAATTTATGTAGGGTGTGTTTGAGCCACGTTATTTTGGAAGAATGTATTTTGGAATAGTAGATTGATGGAGAATGTATAGTTGAAAAAGACGGAATAGTTATTTATATGATATAAAATATTATTTTATTGAAGAATATGTGGTTGAAAATGAGTAAAAGAATGGAAATGAAAATTTTAATCCTGACGTAACCTTGATACTCGACTAGTTCAAATCCCAAGAATGCATCTCAAATACCAAAGTCCAAAACAACAAAAATAGAGGATGAGAATCAGAAGTGGGTTGATTTCCACATACCACATCAATCATTTCGAATTAGCATCAAATGCATGTACTAAAATGCCACAGTTTCCAAGAGTAATTCTAAAAAAAAAACACTGAAATTCAAAACCTAGCTAGCCACACAAAAAAGGAAGTGCTTACAAGTCCGTTCAGAAGAGGAGGCCTCTCGTTCATAAGGCCATGCGGCCCTGAAGACCTCTCCATAATTTCTTGTGTTAGTGAAGCACAGCCACAAGATTGTTAAGTCGACTTATAAGGAATAGACGTTGATTTTAAGAGTGTTTTAGTCAATGAGACAATAGTATTTAATTTTTCTTTGAGACTCTAGTTTATAGAATTCAAAATTCTAATATATTTGTACAATGTTGGTTGCGGTAAAAAAATATTGGTTGAAAAGATAAATTATTTTTTACAATGTCTAATGTAAACATGTTACGTGGTATGTTGTCAATAATGTTGTCAAGATTGCACACCAACTATTGTTCTTCGAAATTATACTGATAATATGTCCCTAAACTCCCGATGACCCTTTCGAGGAAGAATAATATGTGCATGATGTTTTGTTAAATTTTACATGGAAGAGTAAGTTGATTTGCACGTAGTTGGTGATATGTTCAATATTCTTCCTGGTGACCCAATGACACACCTCGGTA